GGCTCTACATCCAGTAAAGTTGGCAACCATGGTCACCCACCAGAGTGAGTCCAACACAGATGTCTGGTCACAGGTGGAAGAATTCACAAATGTTCATCTATTACTTCCTTTGATTGTGATTTATTTATTTGTCCATTTCTGCAGCCCTGAGTAGTGGATAGTGCTTGACTATTGATGAGGCTCCAGTTTCTTCAACATGACCACGGCCTGGGTTCCTCATCCTTGACATTCTTGATGGAAGAACCATTTCATTTGGGGAATTTCCCCAGCACTGTAGGAAGTATAATTACATCATAAAATTCTAGCTACTAGACTCCCCCAAGTAATATCTTATTGCCAGTTATGAGATAAAGGAATGTCTTCATTCATGCTCAGCTACCCCATGGGAGAGGAAAATAACTCAAACTAAAAACCAGTGTCATAGCAATGTATGACCACCACCACTTAACATTGACTAGGACTGTGACTCTACTAGGTAGGAAGAATCTTAAAGAAAACTTCCACTATATTCGAAAGCCTACAGATATTGAAGGATCCATTTTCAAGTATGAACCCAAAGAATACAAATCCAATCAAATAGAGCTGCTCTATGTGTGGGTAGATTATAGACTTCCCCAAGGATGTGAGAACATGAGGTAAACAAACAATAATGATGGCAGCTACAGCAACAACACATCCCCAAACCCACAACCAACACAACAGTTTAACTAAGGGATACAGATCCAGTTCTTGGTTCTGAAATGGGGTTTCTTATTTGTGAGTTTTTGAGTTTCCCATTTGTTTTGCGAATGGTATATTAATGTCTCACATGAGAACTCCCATCTTATATAACTGAAGGCATCTGTGAAGGTAAACTGCAACTTATATGAGATTTCATAATTACCTCCTTTGGATCCCAAGACCATTTATAACTGAGTATAGGAATGTGTGAAAACCAAAACTACATGATTAGTATCTGAACATAAGAAATTAGCATATATTTGGTACTTTATTAACTTTTAATAACTAGGAAATACTAATCTTGTGACTTAAGCATGTAATTTCAGAAATTATGTAAAAATTGAAAATTGTGATTATTATTATTATTTTTTTTGCTTTTTTTGTTTTTCAAGACAGAGTTTCTCTGTGTAGCTTTGGAGGCTGTCCTGGAACTAACTCTTGTAGACCAGGCTCATCTCAAACTCACAGAGAACCACCTGCTTCTGCCTCTCAAGTGTTCAAATTAAAGGCATGTGCCACCACTGCCCGGCTCTCTGATTAAATCTTATGGTTTAACATAAATACTTGAAAGACTGAGGAGAATATAGAAATCTAGAAATTGACTTTGTTGTTAAAGGGAAAGGAGGTGGGAAGACAGTTCAGTGAAAGCCTTTTTGTGTGGAAGCACCTACCACAAATTTATCTCCTAACCGGAACCCTAATTGAATCTGCCTTTATAGTTATATGCCACATCCTTAATGTAGCTAACCTTAACTTCGCTGTTCCAAACTGAAGTTGGGATAAGAATTTTCATGATAAAGAAGATCTCTGTCCTGGAAAAAATATCTTGATTGGTCATGGAAAAAAACAATGTAAACAATGTAAGATTATGGATTGAGGAAGATGGACAGTTAATACAGCCTGCTTGACAAGCATAAGGACCTGAGTTCAGTCCTTAGAACCCATGGAGCAGAAGCTTGGTGTGGAGTCTCATGTTGGGGAGACAGAGGCAAGAGGATTTCTGGGATTCGCTGCTAGTAAACTAATCCAATGACAATCTCTGTTTCTAAGGAGGTGGATAGTGTTTCTGAGGATGACACTTGAAGTTGTTCTATGGTGCCATGTATTTATTTGTCACTCCAATAGATTGCAGCCCACTTCAGAAGTTCAAGAATTCTGTGTTTGTTGCACTATTACAAAACTACAAATCAGTCATAAAAGGTGGAATCTGATCCGTAGATCCTGTTCAGTGATAGATGGCACAGGCCACACACTATTGTGTGATTTCAGACCTCCAAGAATGAGCAGTAATAGTTAACCCTCTATGGCATCCACCGCATGACCTGGTCTAGGCCCAAATCTAAAGGAAACATTAACAAGGCTCCTGTGGGATGCTGTGCTGACCTGTAACTTAGCAACAAACCGGGAGAGCTGAGACCTGGATAGGACAGCAGCTCATGGCACAGACTTTTTGTATCTTGCTATTCTTTACAGAACAATAGATGTCAGTTTTATATATAAACCGTAGACGTGGTAAAAACAAAGGAGTATTCATATCCATTTAAACAATTATGGACCTTTCTTGAGTCAATCTGCTGTCAACACACACACACACACACACACACACACACACACACACCATAGTAAAACTACAACAAGAAAAGATCATGTAAAAGTTGCCCCTGTATAAGGAAGATGCAATTTATTTCAGAAATGCACAACCACTCAAGTGTATGTTGTGTAGGCATGCACTGGGGAATTTAGACTAAACAGGAAGTGATGTAAATTATGATTATTACACTGCTGGGAGAGAAATATATCAAATCCAGTCAGCAAGGGGACAAAGCACAAGCAATACATTGTGTTGAAGAAAACAATGTGATTTTGGTGGGAAGGCAAGGAACTATGTATTATGAAACCCCTCAGTGGCCACTGGGGACTGAAATAATTTTTCAGGGATATACCTTTTTCTGGTACTGAATATATATACATATATATATGAATCATATAATCTATATATTAATATATGTATATTTATTCAGTACATGCACTGAATATACACACATGTGGGTGGGTGTGTATTGAGGTCATTCTAATTGTAAGCAAATTGTGAATTCTCTACTTTTAACCATTTCTATGGTGCTGTTTCCTAGTCACCCAATTGGAGCCCACAATGAAAAATGAAGCCATCAACATTTACATTAAAAATCACAGATATGTCCAGACACCCTGGGTCCAACTGAGGCCTGAGGAAGTTACAGAGTTTTCAATCTCCCATATAATCTCAGTGTTGAAATGTTCAGGAATCACCTGTCTGAGGAAATCTCAATGCATAGATAACCTGGAGAGAAAGCATCTCCAGATGTGTTCTGGGAGACTTGTCTGGTGACCAACTGAATGACACAGTGTAAAGGGGGGATTGAAGCACGAATAAAAATAATAGCAGGATGGTTTAACTGCTTGCATATCTGAAAGAGAACTTTCTCTGGCTGAAAATTAAATCAACAATATATAAATCGAATTCTCAAGTTCCTGTTTTATTAACAGACTGTATCCAAAAGGAAGTAACTGGATGGATTAGAGTCAGACTTCCAAGTGCTTTCATTCTATACAAAGAGTCTCAAAGATGGGGTTTGTTCATTACTGGTCTGTCTCAGAGGGTCATTTCTAAAAACACCATGCTAAGGTATTGCCAAGAAATTTAGCAAAATCAGACTGTTTGGGGGGCAGGAAAGATGGCTCGGTAGTTAAGAGGCTACTCTTGTAGAAGACCCATACTTGCTTTTCTGTATCCAAATCATGGCTCACAACCACTTGTAGCTCCCGTTCCAGGAGATCTGATATTTTCTTTTGATCTTCGTGGATACCAGTCATGTAGGTGGTACACATACATGAGTGAAGACAAAATACTCATACACACAAAATAAAATAAATAATACTTTTTAAAATAAAAAGTGGCTCAGCAGGTAAAGACAATTGCAGCATACATCTGGCAATGTAAGTTCAATTACCAGAAGTCACATAAAGGTAGACGGAAAGAATGATGTCATGTGGTTGTCCTCTTACCTTCATATTCCCTCCCCCACATACATATCACACACACACACACACACACACACACACACACACACACTTTTAAAATTCAACTGGTTTGTGGTATCAGATTTTATTACTGTGAGTTGTAATTCTCATTAAAACACCCAGAAGACTTTTAGTGGTAGAGAAGCAGATTTTCCCAGCCCCTCAGTGATGTTTCAACAGGGTGGACTTCAGAAAGTCAGGGGAGTGCTGACCCAGCTTCTGCACAGGGTAAAAGGGGTGGGCTTTGATGCTGATGGAGGTGAGGTACAGCTTGGAGGTTCTCTCTAGTTCCTTGGTTTGTAATAGAACAACTTCACGGAATTCATCATCTTTCTGAAAAAGGAATGGAGGCAGTGGTAGAGGAATCCAACATCTCTCTGAAGTCTAGTTTTTCTTTGCTGAGTATGGAGGATATTTTGATTGGTTTGTGTGTTGTAGGTGCATTATCAAAGGTATCTACTGAATGTGTCTGATCACCGTTATTCCTAATTATCTCATCTCTCACTCCCTTCCTTCTGTCTTTTTCACCTTTCATGGTAGCTAGGGAAGCTGATGCTACAGCCAGACTGACTGGAAATGTTGCCTAAGTATCTCACTCTTGCATTTCCATCTGTTAGATTACAACTAGATTATCATCCAAGATTTTTGGAATGAACACAAAATATTGAGGATACTATTAGGCATAATTTATAGCCACTTCCTTTATAGAGTATATTTTTCTAGATCTTCAAGGGAAGCACACTAGGTAATGGGAAACAGATTTTCTTCACAAGTTTATTTTAGCAATTATTTAATGAGAGTCTACTTAGTCATGTTCTTATTTTCAAACTCCTCAAAAATCCAATTTTCTTAAAAACATAAAGAGATCATCTCCCCTATGTATGCTCCATGGATCATTTTATGACACACAAAGTCTGAAGAAACTGTAGTTCATGGGATTCAATTTTGATCTCTGAGAGGTGTGTCTTTTGTATCACATGGTATTTATGGACCACCTTTGGGTTTGCTAATCATTAAAATATTAGGAATTTATTTTTAGCTGATCATTGTTGCAAAATAAGAATCTCATTTTTTTAAAATGCAGATTATATCTTATCCCAGGTTTCAATTTACTATATGCAAGCAGTGAAACTTTTTCCAACAAAGGCTTAATTAGAATGGTTAATAGCTATGATTCCCAAAGTGCCTGAGTCAGTCTTAGTAATAATTATGGAGTCTTGTTCCATACAAAATGCTTTATTTAACCTTCATGCCTTCATTCAGATAATTATACAAATGCATACAGATAAAGGTTTAAACTCTATTTCAGTTCACAGCTCAATTCATAGGAAAGTTGAATACAGAAAAGCAATGCACCAACAGAATATGTCTGAGACACCATTGAAAACGATAACACTTGTTCATTTAAATCTCTGAGAATAGACTGGAATACTCTTCCGAGAGAACCTCATTAGGAGAGTCTCCCTTTTCATTATCATAGGGCAAAAAAATCACCATTTTACAGTAAAAGAAAAAGCTCTGAGTATATTTACAATACATACACTATACATAAATACAAGAACAACACTTACATAATATTAATAAACTTATAACAGGAGCAGCCTAAACACTACAGAGTATATAAATGCATAGGAAACTATTAGGAAATTAGATCTTTAAGCTGAAGAAATGAATTCATTTGCAATTAAAACTCAGAACAGAAAAACCAAACAAAGATTTAAGAACTCGACACATTTGCTTGTCAGCATCATTGGGGGATTTTACCCTTTAATGTAGGTTCTCCTCTGGGCACTCTTAGCTCTCTGGGTCATATGCCCAAGAGTCTTTTTGTAGGATAAGATCCACAAAATGAATCAGAAGAAGCCCATCTATTCACTTTGCTGTGTAGAGGCTTCGAGCCTAGAATAACCATTTTGCAAACTAAGGAACATTTTCATATTCTTACAGAGAAGGATCTTGTGATCCAATGACCATGCGTAATGAGCGAAGTGTTGAGGAGAAACAAAGAGATACCTGCTTGGTTTGGCCAAAGATGATGTGTTTCTTTATTCTCATGTGTTTTTCAGATATGACTTGGAGATTTACTCAGAGGAATATGACGTCTGCACTGACTCCCCCCACACACACACACCAAGAGCAATGTCTAGACTACTACTAATTATAACTAAGTCATTTTAAGTGGCAGGTGGGTATCTTAAAGGTGGTCTGTTCTCATCATTTCACAACACAGACAATTCCTAGTACATCCTTCTATGGACAAACATGAATTTGCTGGTTTCTCTTTGTAAAAAGTGATCATGATACACATAATTGCATTATGAGGCAGGATGACATAATACACAAGACAATGTTTTCAAGCTGGTTTTGTTAAGTAGTTATCTCACGTCCATCCACAGTTGGTTTGGCATGTGATGCAATGTGTCCCACATAGACATGAACAAAACAATACAACCACCATGCCATCCCATGGGGTGCGGGAGACAGTGGTTTTCAAAAATGAACCTTCAAACACAACAAAGTATACACAGACAAGTTGATAGGAAAGAGCCTTGTATGTAGGCACCAGTGCCCAGTTCAATAATACCCCCTGGATGTAATAATTTGAAGAACAAAATAAATTCTATGATCTGAATACATCACAAACTCTGTCATGGGAAAGCTAATGATGAGAGCAGAGGGAAAATACATTTCTATAACATTTATGTTGTTTTTCAGATAATGAAATGAGCATAAAAGGAAGATGTCAAAATATCCCTAAAATATCTTAGTTTCTGATTGACTGGACACTTTTACTTATAGAAGTGAAGCTGAATACTCTCCTATAAACCCTCATTTCTCAACAAAAAATCTCTGTCAAGGACTTGGCTAACTTGCTTTTGAGAAAGAATAATTCATGACAGGAGTCACTGAAACACTTCAGATTTCTAGAGATGAAATGTGGAAAAAAAGATTATTGATGTGCCTATTCCCACTATTCATTTCTTGTCATCCCACTTAACGTGGTGGCATTGTCATTGGAGAAATAATTGTTGTTGAAACTCAATTAAGTGACAGGAGTCTAAGTCTACAGGAGGTTGTAGGCATTGACACTTGCTTTCAGCATGGAAGAGACGTGGTTTATACAGCTTTTATCTCTTCCCACAGCCAAATAACAAGGAGAAAGATCATAATTCAGGAGATTCATTTTCAGAAACACTCTGAGAAATGGCACTCTTCATGTTTTCAAAGTCCATTAGTGCTTCCATGAATCAATACTGTCAGAGACTATCTTCTACGCAGAATGGGAAGGATTTCATTTCTCTGATGTTAGACAGCTCCCCGCATAAAATTCAAACTAACAATACTATAAGCAAATTATTTATGAGACTATTTAAAACATTCCAAGACAGTGCTGTTAAGTGGGAGCACTGGAAAGGAGCTGTCCACTGGTCGCATGAGTGCTGACATCACTATGCCATGAACACCTGTTACGAAGTAGCTCTGTAGAGGTGAGGATTTTCAGACACCCCTCCACAGGTTATAGCAGGTCTGCCCTAGGGTCAAAGGAATTACTATACATACAAAGAAATATGTAAATTGAGAAAAAACTAAGTGGGACCATAAGAAGTAAGAAGGGTTTTTAAGATCTTTGGGGTTCTGGGCAAACATTTAGAAGAAATCAACAGGTTTAGGGAACTCTCTGGTTCAATATTTGTCTAGAATTACCACCCATCAGTGAGTTTCTAGTAAGGGGCTGATTTTAGATCATCCGTACCACTGTTACATCGTGTGCTACATCATGTTCTGGCATTTTACCCCTGCAGAGTTCGCATAACAAAAGCAAGTTAGAGTCTGGGAACAAGGCAGCCAGGAACAGGGAACAGGGGTGTACACCACAGTATAAAGAACACAGGCTGTGGGGCCGGGAGGCTTTGTATTCCCACTCTGCCTACTTGACTCACTCTGTGCCCATGGACATCTCAGCCATTCTCATCAAGGCTCACTTTTCCATCCATGAAGGGGAGAACGGGTGTGTAAACTGGAGGAACCGTGTTACAATTTTTAGTGTAGCACTTGGCAAGAACTTTGAATCCCACAGGATTCTTCAGGGCTTCCAGACCATGCATGGGAAGAAGGAAGTCAGGAGGTTTGATGTCAGTGAGGCCAGGGAGCACAGTAGCTGTGCTTTGACATGGCACCTGCTTGCTTATCCACCTCTCTCTACTGATGCACGTGTTTTCATCCTTCCTTTCTGAAACAGAGTAGGGTAAATAGCGGATTGTCTTCTAGACCTGAAGAATGCTGTCAATTGCAGTATCACACTGTCTAAAGCCTGATGGCTTGTTCACAGCCATACATTAAGAACCATTCTCAAAGAGTGTTTGGCTCTAGTAAAGCTTTGCTAGTAGACTCAACAGCAAAGCTGTTGGGTGGATGAATTCATGCTCTGAGCTAGCAAAGCTGAAGAGTACGCTGGGTCTCTGTCTGTATACAGTCTCATTGCTTATTTTTACCCATGACTCCATTTGTAGCCATAAAATAATTTTAGAAAAACAACTTTGGAATGTCCATGAGGAGATAACTGTCAGGATCAAGTAAATAATTGTCTGAAGGCTTTTACAACTATCACTAGATTTTTGGGGGGAGGGAAGAGGAATAATTGGTCTGTGTTCACCTCCATATGCTCCATAATGATTACAGGATATATTTGGTGAAAAGAGAAAGGAACACATGAACATGGACCTATGCACTACTCTAAATGAGTAAAACAAAGCAGACAAATTCCCTAACCATTTTGCTCCAAGTGCATCAGTGTTTTTAATTGAGCAAGCCTTTCTGAACTACACACACTCCATTATAAGTTTAAGATACACTTTATCTGAACATTATAGCTGTTCTACATTGTCATGTACAGTGAAGATAACTTTATTTTTTATATTCACCCCATCTTATTCAAGTAAGACAACTAAAATGAAGAGATATTAATTGCAAGTAAGGTTAGGTATGCTTCAAAATGATGAAAGCCCTTTTCTGTGGGTTTGTGGGAATAGATTTAATTTACTATGTGCATATATTTACTCCGTGTGTGTGCTCAAACTGTGTAGGAAAAACCCAGTATGATTAAGAATTATTGCTGTGTGAAAGCATAGGATTATCACATTGGTCATATTCATTGACAGGCACTTTCAGCATTTAATTCATCTCTGAAAAAAATGGGCATTGACTTTTTCCTATTGCCACTACAGACTCTTTTAATATGTGGCCAGTATCCATACACATAACCTCATCAGCATGTACCTACACCAGAAAGCAATCCCCCTGGAACTTAAACAAGAATAAACACCTGACCTTATATTTTTCAACTGAGAACTACTTTGTTGAGGAGGAAGATAATAAAGGAGAAAGAATGTTTGTTAGATGATATTTCTAAAACAAGCATGTCCCCATTTTTCCCTTTTCAAGAAAAGACATTAGAAAAAATGACTTCATTTGAGCTTTAAACCATCCTGTCTAAGCTATGACAAGTGGCCACTCCATTCTGACCAAGCACCAAGAACATCAACAAGAGGGACCATTTCCCATGGCAACATTGCTAATTGTGTGTACCATCCATACACAAGGCATATCTGAACAAGTGTTTTTTTATTGTGATGAAAACTAGAAGCTTTCCCCCAACATATGTCATCAAACTATTTACAACCTCTGTAAAATTTGCATGTTTGAAAATATTTTTCCACTATCACATATGTTATGAATACAGTAAAATAGCTTCACTCTATTTTTTAAAGATGCAGTATCCTTCCATTTTATTTTCTTATGAAAATCTGAATTTCTATTGCAATTGTTCAGTATTTAGCATATTTAAAATACCAATGGGTATGGTTTGCTAAACAGACATCACTCTATAATGAAATTGTGAAAATATAGCATTTTAAATTTTTATATACATTTCTTAACTATAAAATGCAGGCAAAGTTACATAGTATTATAAGCTGATTCTCTAGTCAGGTAATAACTTACATTTCTACACAGGACGGATCATTACAAATTATTTCTTTTAAAAAAAGTTCTTGGTGGATATTGTACTCGCCTGCTGGCCACTGCATATGCAGGTGTGTGCGTGTGTTGGGGGTGTATGTCCAGGTAAGTGAAAGGCAGTGTGGAATAAGGAGAAATGTAATATGGAAGACACGACTGACTGGCCAAACCTCTTCCCTTAGACTAAACCAAGTCAAATCGCTTCTGTGGGAAACTTCAGAAAATGTCAAGGAAGAGATTCGGCCGATGGCATACATTTATGTGATAAACTTAATGAGAGTGGATTATGAACTATGAGTATTAAGGCTTCCTGGGCCTATGGTGGTCCGTCAATGCTAGTTCACACTTGATCCTTTCTGTGCAGACTGCTTGGGTGCTGGTGTTGACGCTGCTTCCCTTCTATGACTTCTCAATGTAAAAGTGATAAGACAGCCTGAGACAACATCTCAGCTACATTTCTAGGCAGTCATAATAAGAACACAAGGCATATTAATACAATTGAAGGCCCCGCCTCACCAGCTTTGGTACGTATAATAAACAAAGCACAGACTAAGGAGTATTGCATCCTTATCTATATACATGTTATCATTCTAGTGGGCTGATCTCAAAGTGCAGACTGACATTTCCATTTCAGATTCAAGTGACAATTTGGAGTTAGGCAAGTTGTAAAAAAAAAAAAAGTGAACACAGTTTTTATGTGAGCTATTCCAAATCCCACCCATGATGAACATAGCTTTTCTAATCACCCAGAACTTTCATTTGTAAACAGTGAAGCATTTTGAAAGCCCCTCCCTCACTTGTCTTATTCTTTCCCATTTAAACTTTAGGGCGATATTTAAAAGTGCTCATTTTACTCATAAAGCTGACACTCAGCTTTTTCAATCAGCAATAACTGTGCCTCGGATAAACCTCATTGGCTACAACAAAGCTTCTCAACTTTTGAAAACAAAACTGCATGTGTTTTGTAAAGGCAGTAGTATAATTTCTGTGGTGAAGCCGTCAGGAACCTCTTTCTAAATGCCTAGAAGAAATTAAAATCAAACAGTGTCCAAAGCAACCGACAGCAGGAGACTGGAGCTGAGTGGGAACTTTGTCTCCAAACAACTTAAGATTGAAATATAAGGGACTCTCTGAAAACCCTCAAACAGCCCAACTCCCTTGTCATTTTAGTCTTCACATCACAAGGAGACAAACAGTCCTCCCTGTTGCGTGTGCCAGGTACAGTCTCCCTAGCTGCAAGGCGAACCACTTCAAATCTGAAGCCCAAACATGCTCTGGCTAGGAAACCCCAAGCAGTCCTTTAGGATTCGTTCCCCCATCTGATAGTTTATCGTGCACTGTGCTTTTCAAGAAGCTAGATACTCACAGGAAGTGGGTGGAGGCTTTTCTGTGCCTAAGGATCCCCCCATTTCTTTCGGTCCCAAACCACTTGCTGTCATACAGGAACACGTCTAGGAAACTGACCAAGGAGAACTGCCCCAGATGAGTTCCAAGTAAGATTCAGTTCTTGGGTCAGATCAGGGACATGTTCATTTGTGCTTAGATCCTTTCTAAAAATATCGCTAAGTAAAAGGAGGGGAATGCTGTAATGATGGCAGATTTTATCAGTGATCTTACCATCTCAGTATGTTTACCACTTAAAGAGAGCAAGGGGGAACGTTTCCTCCCCAAGTCTTCCCTAAGCTGTTAGGTGCAACTCGTTTAGTTCTGTGCTAAATTTAAATCAAGATGTCACTCAGGAAGCTTCCTATACCTGTCAGTTCAATGAAGTCTACCTTTAAAACTTGCAAGATGTCTCTCACTAGAGAGATTGGCTCTGATGAGAGCAGATCAAACTAAGCCAAATCTAAAGTCCCCTACTACCTGCCATCCAGGCTCTGGGGCCAGCACTTGGGGAGATCATGGTTGTTTACTGTCTACACTCTTCGCCCTGGCCAATTACTAATGCTGGCATGCATCAGGAAACCTGTTTTTATTCTGAATGATAACAGGCAATGAGAAGTAGGAAGTGCATACAATACAGATTAAAATAAAATGTTTCAGTTGGTTAAAAAAAAAATCCCACTGGCTGATGGGTACCAGCCTGTGTAGCTAAAGCTATTTATCAATACAACTGCAGCCCTTGTTGGAGGGAAATTGCCTGATGAATTTTTCAGACCTGGCAGAAAACATAGAGCACATATTTTTGAAGCCCCAACTTGATCTGTAAATCATGATACTTTTGCCTGAACATTTATGACAATTCCTTTAAAAGCTCTCCAACACAGACGGTTCTTCTTGTAGTGTTTATAGTTTTGCTTTGTCAGAATACAATTACCCAGATTAGAAGCGGATACTATAAAGGATATCTCTGTCACCAGATATTTCGAAAGGAGCTAGCAATGTTATGAGGTTAATTTGTGTGATTTCCCAAATCAAGCATCTGTCATTGAAATATATTGCAAAGGTCTTTGCTGGAGACCTTTCATAGTTAAGTTATAAAAAAAAAATCTTAACAAAAATCTCACCAAGCCCAATGGCCACACAAAGCTGGGAAAACAACAGCTTTTAGTGGGGACAAAAATATGTTACCGTATTGGAAAGAGTGCTTGTTGGGAGATGTATTGCTTTTCCTGTGTATTTTGAAAGATACAAAAGGCTCTTCACTTGGGAGGGGTAATGGAACCTGACTTTCTCATCCTTCTCCAGGAAAAGCAGGTTGCCTGTTCCTGTGGATGCCGATGTGGGAGCACGGGGACTCTGGGACAGTTTAAAAAGTGAAATGTGTAGAGAAGAATCCAGGGGAGAGTCGGACCCTTGTCTCTCTGAGTTGAAGCAGCAGCACCATGGCGGGCTTTCCACGGGGACTCTTTCCACGGACTCACGCCCACGCCAAACAGAGCGAATGGCTAAGGAGTTAATCATCAGCTCTGCCTATCTAGTCACCAAATAACTGTTTTGAAATGAGAAAGGGGGAGCATGATCTTTAATTGTGGTACTCCAGCAAGTAGGACAACAAACAGCGGAGAGATTACCTCAGTGCCATGGATGTAACTAAGACATCTGAAATGCTGGGGTGTTTTTTACAATCCCTTTAGTAAGTACGAAAATCGGTAACGTGAGTCCTCAGTGGAGTTATTGTAGGAAAGTCCTGTTCATTATTGCTTTTCTCCTCGAGAGGAGCATTATTTCCGTCTCGGCTCTGTCTCATTTTCATGTTCACTGCCTTTGCATGGGCAGTCCCACCCCTCGCCTTGGTGCCACTGTGTCTAAGGAAGTCCCCCTCCCCCTTGATTCATTGTAATCAAACACTAAGAGCAGGAAGAGATGATGCCTGGGTGACAGAACACTGCAATTTGAAGTGGGGCAGTCGTTATTATTACTATTGCTGTTGTTATTATTTTAGACAGGCTCTTCCTATTCAACCACAGAACACCTCTGCCAGTCCATGCCAGGGCAGAGCAGGGCTAGCGTTTGAGAAACTGCTCTGCCCCTCTGCTGAAACAGATGAACAAAACATAATCGAAACAGAACAAAAACAAGCAACGACAAACAAATGAAAAGACTCAATGTTGGTTCTCTTCGGGGGATGGCATGAGGACAAGGTGTGAGTGCTATGTGGGTCCACCATGGCTAGCACAGAGGGCTATTTCTGTGTGCCTTTCTGTTTGGGGAATGGAGCATCTCCAATAGCACTTTCCTTCCTAGTTCATGCTGCTTGCTGGTGCCGGGCTGGGTGTGTGTTCTGGTTACTGAGATGGGAACTGAAATTTTTGTCTAAAGGGTTTGGGGTGGGGGAGGTGCCGCGGAAGAATCATCCAAACTGAGGTCTTCTCTAACCATCAATTTGCGGTAGATGACCTTTAAGGGACTGACAGCAGAATGTCTGCCAGCTCGGAAAAATGTACAAGCTTACATCTTTTCAATGGCAGAGGACATAGCATGAGAAACAATGCCTGTCTCTTCAGGACACAAGGCGTTGAACTCCCAGGCAGCGTGCTCGCAGACATCTCCCCTGCTGAGCGTGGTCATGATGTGGGGGGTTACCTTCAGGCTGAAAGGGGAAGGGTTCCTTCTTGTTCCTGCTCTGGTTTCAGGCACCATGGGATGACGGTGCCCTTGATGTTAACACTGTAGAGGGGGCTCAGCCCTGCTGAGTTAGTTGCTCCTCAAGAGACCCAGCTCTTCTGCCTATCTGGTTGGGAGCCTTCCTCACACCAGCATGTGCCTCCTACGGTGAAGCGCCAGGTGGTCTGACCTGGAGAAGCTGCGGTCACAGTCTGCGCACTTGAACGGCTTCACTCCTGTGTGTTTGCGGTAATGCCTGGTCAGTTCATCCGAACGGGCAAACTTCCAGGTGCAGCCTTCCCACGTGCATTTGTAGGGCTTCTCTCCTGGAAGAAACAGAGACACACAAGCTTGGCAACTCCATCCCTTTTCTGTGACAACCCAGCTAGCCCTGAATGCTGGGAAAGTATTGTGGGCAATGGGCGTTCCGTTTGGCAGGTCTCTGTGAGTAAACCTTAGCATCCCATTAGGGGCTTTGGGGACTGAGGGGTGAGTTTCAGTTTCCTCTTTTCTGCTGTGACTTCAGGGAAGTCAGGTAACATTCAAGTGTGTAGCTGAGGACACCCCACCGAGACTGATTTGGCTTCATGGCTGGAAGTCACAGAAAACAATAAAGGGTACTTAGTTGCATTCAATAGGCCCCCTTCCCTTCAGAATTTGCATCACTTCAAACCTATAAGACTGTATAGGACATTGTATCTATTCAGCCATTATTTGAGGTATACACATCACTTCATTACAAGGTAAAACAACCCGGATGTTAGACATATGTTATTCACAAACATCTACGTTTTGTTTGTCCCTTGGGAAGAAACCTTAGATAGCCTAGCAGTGCCAAAATCAGCATGTTTTTCAAGACTGGACAACCAAGCGAGCCCAAGGAATCCTGAAGTTGGACTGAATGCTAAGAGTCCTTGTAAAAGTCTGAAGACATGTGTAACCTGACCAGGTCCTTCAGTCTGCTTGTAAGGACAGTAAAATATCCAAAGCCTGTGCTGGGAAAAGATAGCCTATCCATTGTCCAAATGGGTTCCCGGGGGAGCAGGACAATAGTTGACCCAGGTGCACTGTTTTCCTAGCTCTCTTCCAAATGGCAGCCCTGTCCCCATGCAACCCCGCACAAACTGATCTCTCCTGTCCTATCTGGTCAATGGACTACAATGAAGGGGCCTCTAATGAGCACAGGAGAGGCAGCTCATGCTAATCCCGTGTATGGAGCTGCAAAGCAACCCCCACTTCCCAGCAGAGAAGCTCAGGGCAGCACAGCAAATTACTCAAGGGATCCTGGCAAAGATGTGCCTGGCTCTGAATCTAGTACCTTTCTCGATGCTCCAGAGGAACAGATAATCCTTATTTGAACCAAACTTTATTGCATCCTCAGACCCCTTTAGTTCTCCTTTGTTTAGTACTCTCCACCTATTTAAATTCTATTTCGATTAAGTCACTAACACTATCTCCATGCCTGTCTCCTCTACCCCCAGTGCCTAGATCAGTCCTACCCTAAGCAAGTTCCTGGATAAATTAACACTACTACAATGCATGTGTGTGAGTATGTGACATGCATACACACTTTCTCTCTTCCTCTCTCTCTCTCACACACATATGTACATACTTAATGCATGTGTATGTGGCAACACTCTCACACATATATGTACACACTCAAAGCATGTGTATGTAACAAACACACACACACCACAGCAGCAGCAGCAGCAAAGGCACAGGAAACTTCTAGTTCCTATATGTGAAAAGCCTTCATGGGAAAACTTGCCTAAACTGGATTGAACATTTTTTTCATTCAGCTCTTAAGTTAGTGTTGGGTCTTAGGATCAAGTGGCCCTTTCAGAAGAGAGTGAATAAGTGGTTCAGACCCAAGCAATCTAGAAATGCTCAGGCACTAATTGTGGCCACAGGAAGCACCTTGATATTCTGAAAGGACCCATTCAACTAAAGGCATGCTGATTGTATTGACCAGAAACCTCAACTTCTAATTCATTCCAGTTGTTCCAAGGAGACAACATATGTATTTTTGTGTGCTTGCAGATCAGAGTTCTAGAGAAACAAAGTAAACACAAGCCAGGTAGGTGTCTAACTTACAAAGATTGAAGATCCTGACAGTGAATAGCATGTATTTGCATGTTGAATACTGTTGATTTTTTAAATATATTTTCATTGCCTGTATGAGTTCTGGCACTTAGCACAATATAAATAAATATATTTTCCTCCATGTTCTTCTGCCTTTGCTAGTGTGAGTTGATTGGTTGTTACCAAGGGATATCTCCTAGTAGTGGCTTGTGTTAAGAAGAAATCATCCAGAGAGAAAGTGTCCCTGAGGAAGGAAGGAGAAAGGGTCTTCTTTTCCCCCACTTTTATTGAAAATAGCTTTCTTTCCGGCATAATATATCGTAATTGTGGTTTCCCCTCCCTCTACTCCTCCCAATTCTTTCCCACCTCCCCTCCCATCCAGATCCACCCCTTTTTGTCTCTTATTAGAGAATTACAGGCTTCTATGGGATAATAAAATAAAGTAAGATTAAAAAAAAACCCCAACATATTGGAATAGGACAGAAGTAACAGTAGAAAAAGAGCCCAAAAAAAGACACAAGTAACACATGTAGCCACAAAGACCCACACATTACACTGAGGAATCCCAAATAGACACCAAACTGGAAGCCATAATATATGCAAAGGACCTATAGGGTAAAAAGAAATAAAAATGTAAATAAATTAAAAATAAGATGAAATAAAAAAATAAAGAAAAGGAAGAAAAAATTCTGACATGGCACTACAAAACAAGAAACCTCCAAAGATGTTGTTGAGTTCACTCTCTTGGCCACCTACTGCTGGTAGGCATTCCAATTTGTCTCCCCAGTGAGACTCCCTTGGAGAAAATCACTTACAAATTGAAATCTGGAGATATCTTCTGTGTTAGGCATTTGTCCACTTCTTCTCCTTTCAGCTCTAGGACCCCATCTGGTATAGACCCTTTCTGGTCCTGTGCATTTTGCCCCAGTCTCTATGAGTTCACATGCATGCTGGTACTCTATGTTTAGATGCCTTTGTTCCCTTGGTGTCTTCCATCTGTTCTGACTCTGATAATCTCTCTGCCTCTTCTTTAGCAGGGTTCCCTGAGACTTGAGGATGGGAGAGCTTTTTTGTTAGAGACATCCCATTGATGGCTAAGTATTCCAAGGTCTCTCTCTCTCTCCCTCTGTTTCCCCACCTCTCTCTCTCACTATCTGAGTAATGTCTGGCTGTGAGTCTCTATATTTGACTCCATCTTCTACATAAGGAAGCTTATCTGATAATGGCTGAACAAAGAACTGATGTATGATGATAGCAGAATGTTATTGTATTGCTACTTTTTTTATAACAATAGTATTTGGTTTTGAGCTATCTAGTCTCAGGTCCTTGGTGACCCAAGCATCAGGTATGGGGTCCATCTGGTGGAGTGGGTCTTAAGTCAAATCAAGTGTCAGTTGGTGACTCTCATAAGGTCTGTGCTACCATTGCACTGGCATATTTGTCAGGTAGTACATCATTGTTGATCAAAGCATTTTGTGACTGACTTGGTGTTTACGTTTCTCCTTTTGGTAATTGAAGTGTACCTTCCCACACCAAAGACACTAGCACATAGGGGTGAAGGCTCTGTGTAGTCACCATCTTGACTTCTCTGTGTTCAATAGTTTGTTTAGGTGTTGTCTTCAGCCTTGAAATCAGTTTGTGCAGAGCAACTTATAGTCTTGGTAACAGCCTAGGTTTTTTGGGGAGTTCCCATAACATCCCTTTGGACAGAAACGCTATTAGATGTAACCCAATTCCAGTGCTGGAAGCTTCATTTGATGACAAGAGATGTCTAGTTGAGGCTCTGTCTTCCCTCTCATATATGTATATATTTCACAAAACTTCTACTGCATTAGATTTATACACTACCCATCAAATGGCCCTTAAATTTAGCTGTTGGTTTCTATATTCCCGCCCTCACTCCCCTTAGCTCCTGCTACCCACTCAATTCTCCTGTTCCAGTCCCTCCCCATACATCTATAACTATATATTTTATTTCTCTTTCCTAGAAAGATCTAAGTGTCCTTCCAGTCCCTTACACTATACCTAACCTCTGTGGTTCTAGGGATTGCAATTTGGTTACCATTGACTTAACAGCTAATATTCACATATAACCTTATTTGTTTTTTTTAGATCTACATTACCCAACTCAGGATGATTTTGCCCAATTCTATCCATTGACTTGCACATTTAATAGTTTCATTTTTTAATGGTTGAGTAATATTCTATTGTACAATTGTTCCATATTTTCTTTATTCATTCCTCTGTGAGTTTGTTTCTAATTTCTGGCTATTATGACTAGAACAGCAATGAACATATGTGAGTAACCATGTCTGTGGCAGGATAAAGCAGCCTTGGGGTGTGTGTCCAAGAGTGGTATAGCTGGATCTGGAAGTGTGGAACTGCGATAGGATGATGTTTGTTTCTATCTTGGTAAGGAAGTAGCAGATGGGATTAGAATGAGGTTGATGGACCCTGTCATTATTGTGGATAGAAAAAAAGGATATGTAAATGTGAAGCGCATTGTAGGAGATTAACTAGGGGCAAGAGACTCTAGGCTCACCTCATAGGGAAGGGAAGAAGCTGGTGGGACCCAAGGTACAGACAGTTGCATCCAGGTGTGGACTGGATTTGCATGTCTAATTTAGATAATACAATCTCCAATTTATTTCTCACAATTATTTTGTCAATTTAATAATGGTACATACTCATCGCTCCCTCTCTCTCTCTCTGTCACTGGGTTCCTTGGGTTTAGTTCAGTGTATAACTGTGGGTGTTTGTGATGAGAAAATTGGCAAAGAATGGGCTGGCAAAACCAGCAGAGACAGCTGATCTGAACAGGGGAGAGCTCTTGGACCCCAGACCGACAGCTGGGAGGTCAGCATGGGACTGATCCAGACCCCCTGAATGTGAAAGTCAGTGAGGAGGCCTGGGAAACATATGGGGCCCTGAGCTGTGGATCAGTGTCTTTCCCTGGAATATAAACAGACATCATGTGTCCATAACACAAAGAGGGATGCTCTCTCAGCCTGGACTCTTAGGGGAGTGCCTGGACCCTGCCCTGAGTGAAATGACAGACTCTAGATATCCCCTATGTGGAAGGAAGTGGGGATAGGGTAGGAGGCTGGGGGGTATGGTGGGGGGGTGCGGGAGGAGGGGAGGGAGAGGGAACTGAGATTGACATGTGAAACAAGCTATTTAAAATGAAAATAATAATAAAAAATTAAAAAATAATGGTACATACATTTTTTTCACTTGATAAATA